AACAGGATGGGGTGCAGGCGGGAGGTGAGAATAGACACCAGTGTCAATAAAGAATGGATCCAAATGGTGCAAATTTCAAAGGACAACCGGAGGTCTAGGAACTCTCAAAAAAGTCTGCAAGCCTCAGGGCTACATGAATTACAATAGTGGAAAGCAATTCATAACCTGAAGCCCAACCCTCTGGCTAGGCTTTAGCCCAATTCAAAGCCCGGGACCAGTTGCGGGAGCGTGGATTCCGCAGGCGTAGCCCAGGGTTAGCTCCAGACCACAGCTGGTCCTCAGAGCTGGACCTCGTCATAATCTTTTGGGGGTTGTATTGGTGGTGGTGCAAGGGCAGCACTTTCCACCCCTGCAAGCGGCCTCCCCGGGTTCTGCCTGAGACTGGATGACCACTGGCCGGGAGACGCTCCGGACGTCCCTGCCGCGGGACCAGGGCTTAGGCAAGGTGACCTTGAGGCTGCGTCGCTTCTCCTGGAAGCTGTTGGGCACCTTTTTGGTATCGTATAAATGCAGGAGCGAAGACGGGGCGGGGGTCCCAAGGATTCTCAGTCGTGACTCCAAGAGTAAAAGGCCTAGCAGGGGTTGCGTAGGGGGAAGGAGCAGCTTGCACTCGTCCAAACTCCGAGGGAGGGGAAGGCGGGGCCGACTCGAGGTCCCAGCCCTGGGACACTGGCAGCGTGGGCCCCTCCCCCAACCACCTGACCTCCCCACCCGGCAGACGTTATGCAAATGAACTACCACTGGTGAGTCTCTTCTACCTTTCCCTTCCTTTCGCCCCGCCCACCGCGCACGCGTCCTCCCATCCTCCTTCACACCCCGCCCCCTTCAGCCAACTCTCGGCTGCGCTCCGCCCCTCTCCGCCCACGCGCTGTGGCCCCCTGCCTCTGCCGCCGCCGTCGCCGGAGACCAGCCTCGGGGGTGGGGGCAGGCGGGGGGTGACGGTGGCCGGTAAGGCTCCTTCCCGACGAGGCGGCGATGTCCGCGAGCCCGGAGCGCGCCGCGGCGGTAGCGGCGGCGGGGCCTCATGCGCAGCGCAGCAGCCTGGCCTTTGGCCTCCCTCCGGCTCTCGTAGAGCGGGCCGGTGGCAAGAGCAGTAGCCGCCGAGGCCGTGGGGTTTCTGGCTTGTCTTCCTCCTTTTCTTCCTCCTTCCCCTTGGCCGTCGGGTACTGAGCCGGGGGAGGGGAGGCGGCCTGGGTGGCCGGGGCGGGAGCTGCTGCTTTGAGGATGGGAATCCTCTTCACCAGGATATGGAGACTGTTCAATCACCAGGGTGAGAGACGGAGGGAGGGAGGGAGGCCTGAGTGGAGGGGAGACGGGAGGCGCCTAAGGGGAGGCGAAAGGGACATTTCCAGCCCCGGCGCCCGCGCGTTCTCCAGGGTGGGGGGTAGGGAACGCGACTCCCTTGGAGCTGCGGGGGAAGGCGCGCCAGGTGTCCCCTCCTCCCGCGGGTCGGCTGCCCCCAGAACCGAGCCCTCCCTTCCCGCAGACCTGTCGGGAGATGCTTCCTTGCACACCTTCCCCTCCTTTCTCCTCCATTCTTCCTGAGGTCCCTGCTACCGGGCTGAGACGTGGCTGGAAATGTGGTAGGAGGTGGAGGACAGGGGTGCGCCGGGTCTCTCGTCTTCACGCCCCCCTCCCCCTGGGATGGCTAGATTGCCACCCACCTGCCCCGGCTGGAGACACGTGCCACATCCCAACTTTTCTTATTGGAGTCTGGGTGAGGAGGGATTCCTTAAGTCGCTCCCTTTTAGTCCTGTAGGAACGCGAGCCCCACCGAGGAGGAGTGAGAGAGGTTTTCATAGTCTGCAAAACTTAAGGGATCCCCAGCTTGGCAGGTCATGGTTGAGATAAACTCCACATCTATATAGCTGTCTTCTTCTCTGGGGCCTTAAGTTTCCTTGACTGGAAAACGACCGAATTGGACTGGGTGATAGCTGAAGGCCCCCTTTCTACCCGTAACCTTCCCTTCCAACTTGGAAAGCCTTTGATTCCAGGGATTCTTCTGCCAGTTCTTTGGAGCAGCCTTTGGCTATTTGTTAGGGACCCGTGTCAAATGTTTTACGGTTAAAGCTGTTTGACGCTTTTGGTTGTTTGATTTATGCTGTTATGATCTCATTTTAAGTATTATGGAAGAGGCATGAAAATATAATTTCGAATTAGTGATGTGCATGATTGATATTTGAGACGTCGGCAACAGCTGTATTGTGATATGAAAATGTCCGTGATTTTCTTGGTGACAGAGTCATAGATATCGGCTGCCTACATTCATAACAGAAGGAAATGCTAAATTTAGGAAAGAGCAAGGGTTCTTAACCTTTTTGGTGTGGGGTCATGAACCTCTTTGGCAGTCTGGTGAAGCCTGTGGATCCTTCATCGATTAGTGTTCTCCAGTGCATTAAATAAATTTACTTAAGATAACAAAGGAAACTAATCATGTTGAAAATGCAGTTATCGAAGTATTTTGGAAAACCAAAAAGTTCATACACCCCAGGTTAAGACTTACGCTTGAGTTGGAGGTTAGTGAAAATAAAGGTGTGATTTAAAAAAAAAAATCTCATTCAAGTTCACAGATTCCTTGAAATTTATCCAGACTCCCACTCCTTGTTAGGAACCCTTGATTTAGTCCCCAAAATAATTTACCTTTTTCCCCAATCCTGTTTTGGAACCGATTGTGGTTATAAAAGTCTGTTACCATTAGTTGCCAAGTAAGTTCTTTCTGTAATTAATGACACTTCAGATAAGTTTTGTATAAGTCTGTGTTCTTTTGAAACAGATGAATATTTATGTTTGTAAGACTTAAAGAATTATTGTGAAACTGAGTACTGACGTTTAAAATAGGGAAGTGACTGACACCTTAATGTAAAGAAGCAGACAAAAATACTCAAAATGGGATTTTCCTAACACCACCTTTTCTGCTCTTTAAACCTGGTTTCCTGACTCATCATTTATGCTATCAATAATTTATTGTCGGTTCTTTGTGTCTGCTGTTCCTGGTATTGTCATATACCAAAGTTCTTAGGGTCACATTTGAATATGAAGTGGTTTTGGTGACAAGAGTCACCACCCTACCTACTTTTTTAATGTTTCAGCTCCCTGAAGAATGATGTGATTGGTAGGGAATAGGACTGTGACTTATAATGGTTATGACCATTTGTTTATTTGATTTAAAAAAAAACCACAAAAACACTAATACTCTAGACAGCACATATAATAATTCTAGTTGAAAGTAAGGTATGTCAAATTACATTCCTTTTCTACATTTGTAGTTGCTCTAAAATAGTGAAAAATTGTCTTGATTCTTATTAACTAATTACGTATACTAGGCAAGTTATTTTACCTCTCTAGGCTTCAGTTTCATCATCTGGAAAATAAAGAGGCTGTACTTAATGATCCTTTAAGTATCTTTGAGCTCTAGAACTTTAACCTCCTTGAGATTCAGTTGCTTTATCTGTAGGGGATGCGATCATGCTTGCCTTAATGCCTGTGGGCCAGACCAGTTAATGTCTGGTACTGCCTTCTGATTAGAGGATCTTTGTCACATTTTAGGGAAGCCTGTTGTCAGTGTTTGGAAAACTTGACTCTTCAATGAACCTTGTACTCTGCAGTTTTCTAATTTTAATGTCTTGTAAAAGTTAGATTTCTGTGATGAAAAATGAGTTGTGCTTTTATCAGTAGCCTCTTATCAACAGTAAGGTTTAAAGACTAAAGAATTTAATTCAGCAAGTATTTGTAAGTACCTACTGTGTGCAAGATACTGTGTAAGGCATTGTGCTAAAGAATGCTAGCATGTTAGTTTTGTTAAACTTCCTGTATTTCTCAGCTTGGGACATTTTTATATGGTATTTATAATGTAAATCTGTACGAATATTGAGAAATATATGATACAAAGACCTATTAAAATGAGGTGTATGTAATAAAAAGTCAATGAATATTCTGTCCTGCTGTATGATTTAGACATTAGTCAAATGTTGGTAGAGGTTACTTTTGTATACTATAGTGACCATTAAGGGTGAAATATCAAATCCATACCTTTGAATTGATCACCATATTTTAATTTTAAATAAGTGCATTGAACCTTTGTTAATCAGTTAGCTCACTAATAGAGTGGGTATCTATTTGTTTATGTATCTTTTGTTGCTCATCTTACCAAGGAGATGTATTCCAAATTATTTTTCATAGCACGCTTTTGAAAGAAAGGTCTTTTTAATTTCAGAATTTACTGTATGAGTGATTTCTAAGCTGTCGCATTTTTGTCTGATTTCTGTACAGCAATTTTTCTGCATTATGTGTTGAAAGATAATTAACTAAAGAACAGCCTAGGGATGGCTGAGGTAATACATTTAGGTAAAATAAAGCATCTGAGGAATGTGTTGGTACAAATTGTTGACTTTCTGCTTGGAGAGGATGCTCTTTGATGAAATACTGTTGTGATGTGGCTTGATTCAGTAAACATATATTAAAGCCCTTCATTTAACATGTTCGAGGTTCGGTGTATGTGAGATGATAAAAACAGGGCCCCTGGCTTTTAAGGAACTTACAATCTAGCAAGAGAGAAAGAGAATTGTAATGCAAATTGGAATATGAAAAATTCATAGAAAAGCACCTGTTTACATAAATGTTTTGCCATGTTCTCTTTCTGAAGTGTGCCAAGCTATTGCTCCGTATGCTTTTTATGAATTTGATGTAGTTACTAGAGTTTTCTGGTGTAAGCTTTACTTCCCAAGACCTTTTTTGGCATAAGACTACAGCACTCTACTTGTGCTTGGGTTAATAATCTGAGGAATGACCAGTAATGTTTTTTAAGTATATGAAGATGATCACTGGAGGCTGATAAGTTATAAAATAAAATTTTATTGGAGCGAGAAAAGTTTAGATGAAAGAAAAAGACTGTTCATGCTAACATGAATTCTGAGAGAAGTTGTAGCATCTTTTCCAGGTTTCCTTTGTAAAACCAACCTTTTTTCATAGATTCTTTAAAAAGGAGTTGAATTAATCTATTAAGAATCATGGTTTATACCTGAATTTACAAGTATAGACTGGGTTAGTGGTTCTCAATAATTTCCTATGTTTGGCATATTTTTGAACTTAGCTGAGCTGCACCCTCCATGAGAAAGTGTAAAAATAAATGTAAAAAATAAGTTTTTGGTGATATTATAATCTAGAAACCTAAAAGCCAGTTGTGTTTTATTTATGTATGTGAATAGCATCTCCAAGAACTAAGGGGTTTATTCTCTGTCTGCAACACTACAGCACCTTTGCTGTAAACAGCACATTATATTTTAAGTATATTTTATGTGTGTATTTGAAAATATTTTCATATTGTATGAGGAAGGCTGAATTACTTACCCAAGATTTTGTTCTGAGGTTCTCTGACTTTGGAGACAATCTTATTTCTACTGTATCACTGCCTTTTTGGATCCTGATTCAATCATCTGCTTTGTTATCTATTCCTTCAAGCTTTGTGTCATTTGCAAATTTGATAAGCTTTTATCTAGGGCGTTGATAACATTGAATAGAACATGAGCAAGAACAGATCCCTATAGCACTCCATTGGAGACTACCTTCTAGGTTGGCATTGGTTAACACTCTTGGGGCCCAGCTGTTCAGGTAGTTGTGAAAGCACTCATCTACACAGTTACCTAGCCCAGTTTCCTCCATCTTGTTCACAAGGATATTTTGATGAACTTTGTCAAAATGTTTTGTTGAAATCCTTTGTGTTTGATGTTTCCCTAATATACTAATCTAATAATCCTGCCCAAAAAATGAATTGAGATTAGTCTAGTGTGACTTATTGATGAATCCATACTGGAATAGGGTGATTGTAGGTTTTTTAAATTTAAAATAATTTTTAAATTTTCTTGTCCTCCCACATTCCCCCTTGTAATACATACAAATAATATCATAAAGACTGTCTACTTTAAAAGGCCTGAACTACTTTCCTGTCTAAGTGGTCATAAAACCATTTATTATATTTGTTATAGTGCATCCTAGAATTTTGTCTAAAAATTGATGTCAAGCTAGTTGACGTATTGTTTGAAGAAACCTTTCATTTTTTTGAAAATTAAAACATTTGGTTTTTTTCCGGTTCTGTAGTATATTTCTCTGGTAGAGTTGTAGATGGTCATATCTAATTTATCTGCTTACATTAAAATCTCTACTCCCTTATGTTACCATAATTGACATCTAGGCATTTGAAGCCACAATTATTGTTATTATACCACATCTTGGCATATGTCAACCTTATGGTATATGATTTTCTTCATTGGTATTAATCTTCCTATGTAATTTATATCTGACTTAGTGAAGGAATGTAGTTGTAGTTTCTCTTGTTCCACCATTTTCAGTTTAACTCTCTCCTGACAATTATATTCACATGCTTCCGATCAATCAACAGAAATCTACTAAACTCCCTCTATGTGCCAGGTATTGTCCTAGGCACTGGAGATAAGACAAGTAACTCCCTATCCTAAAGGAGCTTACACTCTATCATGAGAGACAACGTGTGCATATATAAGTAAATACAAAATTTATACAAAATAATTACAAGGTAATTTCTTTGTGGTTGCTGGGGAAACACCCTGTTAGCTGAGAGTGTTCAGGAAAGGCCTTGTATGTAGCATTTGAGCTGAGTTTTGAAGGAGTATAGAAATTTTCTGTACAGTGTTTATTAGATCACCTTCATCCCTAGGCAAGAGCTAGTAGGTATTCTTATATCTGAAGTCTCTTCATGAAAATTCAGATTCTGTGTTCCAACATTACCAGATACAGACTGGGAATTTGATGTAGGGATTCTTAAAAGTTAGTAATGAAGTATCTGATGGAGAAATTTTGAGGTATCGAGAAAATAAAAAGTACGATGTTATGATGTACACTTAGGACACCTTCACTGCATTTGACTAAAGTGTTAGTTTAGTTAAGTTGGTTGGGAAACTATAGGTAGCAGTCTAGTGAGCCTGCCTTTAAATTCTTTCAGCACCATAGTATTTAGTTTGTCTGCCTCTTTGCTCTTTGTCTTGTTCTCAAGTAGTTTTTGATAAGTCCTTTTTTTCCCTTTAGTATTTATCCTAAGCCTCTGGACTTTAATATTCCTGACATTCTGTGCCACTTTTGATTTCATCTGCATTTCTTTGCCCTCACCCTGTATATCCTGCTTCAGTCTCTTTAGTCAGTTCTTCTCTTTTTTCATAAGAAACATTTTTGTTAATGTTGTCAGAATTTCTCGAGAGCATCCTATATACTCTTTGATATTGCCTGAAGAATTTTAGGCCATTCTTTTCTTTCTTTCTTTCTTTCTTTCTTTCTTTCTTTCTTTCTTTCTTTCTTTCTT